TATGAGTCAGGATTGTGCCACCATTACTAAAAAGAAGAAACCTTCAGAATGACGTTAGACCATATTACGAGGAGGATGACATTCCTCTCTCTGGATGTCCTTCCGCCCCAACCATCCGGACCCCATCATCTTTCAAGACCCACTCACAAAGCCTGGATCCCCACAGCTGGAGTTAATCTCACCTGCTTTGAACACCCAGAGCACCTCCCATTTGAGCTGTGGCTGTTTATGTCCTTGTCTCATTTCCCTGAGGACCGTAAGCTCCTTGAGGACAGTGTCCGTGACTCACTCATTTTGGTATCCCTCAATATCATACCTAACAGACCCTCAGTGAGTCTTCAGTGAATGAACTGGAACATAATTCTCCCACCGTGTTAGAAACCTGAGTCTACATGGGGTCCCTAGTCTCAGAGCTAAGCAAAATAATGGGGACAGGTTCAGAATAGAATAATGAAACAAAATGATTAAAGAGTGAGAGAAACAGGGGTCGGCCAGTGGCTGAATGGTTAAGTTCACATGCTCCGCTTCAGCAGCCCTGGGTTCACCGGTTCGGATCCCGGGTGCGGACCTGCGCAGCACTTATCAAGCCATGCGGTGGCAGGCATCCCACATACAAAACAGAGGAAGATGGGCATGGATGTGAGCTAAGGGCCAGTCTTCCTCAGCAAAGAGAGGAAGATTGGCGGCGGATGTTAGCTCAGGGCTAATCTTCCTCAAAAAAAAAAAAAAGTGAGAGAAACAGAATTTATATGGGGTGGCAGTCAAAGGAACTGACTCTAGAAAAGTGAGCTTTGGAAAGTGATATCAAGGGATCTTCAGATGTATTAAAGAGATAATATTAAAAGAAGGCCTGAAGTTCTTTTATTGGAGAAAAACAAAAAATTATTCAGATTTCAATGGGGCGACGTGAATAAGGCCCCTGAATAACTCCCAGCGTAGAGACACCAGGCGGTGTGACGAAGGCTGGGCTGCTGCCACGTCGTCTTCCAGTCCTAGGAGTGCGGAAGGGTGTGAGGGCAAGAAGGACTCTGGCAAATTGTTTTCGCAAAATTACTAGTGAAACAATTGCAAGCGTTTAAGTTTTAGGATTTTCTTTTTTCCTAAGATGCTGGAACCTGTTTTAAAGGAGAAGACAGATTTAGTCCAGGAAGAAATGGGAGAGACTCGAGCCTGGGATGCGGAAAGCAAAATGGGACCAACCCACAGAGAGAGACAGCCTTTGATGTGACGACGATCAAGGACGGGGCTTAAGGACCAGACTCTTAAATCATGTGGCATTTACGGCCCCAGATAAAAAATACTTTTGTGGATCAGTGTCTGTAGTTCAAAATGGCTAGGTTCCAAAAGCAGTCCCAACTTTTCAAGCGTAACATTTGGAAGGCTCCCTGCAAGAACGGAGTGGAGCCAGTTTCTAGAAGGGGCAGCTTAATGATTTTCTACTCCCTCCACCCCCAAATCATTACACAGTGCTCCTTGCTCAGAGCCCAAGTTCATGCTGAGGGCAGAGGGAATCAAACGAAGAAGCTGAACCTGCAGCTAAGATTAGAGAGCTGCCACAGGCCTAATTTTAGGTCCTGGTCACCCCAGCTGACGTCCTGCACTGCTGGCTCAGCCTCGAGGACCACAAGTGTGGCCGAAAGCCGGTGACTGAGTGGGAAGAGCGTCCCCTTAGCCATCTGCAAAAGCAATTAGCTTGCTGTTGGGTGTGTTTTGAGAGAGACTACCAATAATTTCTCCTTCAACAAATGTTTCTTCAGGTGTTCAAGAGCTGTCCAGGGAAGATGTCAGTGCTTGGCAGAAGTTCCCACAGGCCTGCCATTCCAACACTCACGCTTCTCCACTCCAGAGTGCTCTCCCAAAGGGGACCAATCCCGGGCTCCCTGGATTCTCATGGCAAGTAAGCCCCCATTTCCTCTGGCCATCAGCTTACTGCCGAGACCTAGAGACAGCATCCTTCAGGACCCCTTGGCCTGGTGAAAACACACGGGCGGATGGGAGCACTTCTGGCATGTGGTGGGCAGTTTCCCTGCCACTCCTCCCCTGGGATTTAGACTGTCTTTCCACTCTTCACGTATTTCCCAGCCACAGGTTTCATGCTTAAATTGTCCTCGTCAGAGGGCAGACAATAAGAGCTGGCATCTCCCAGATCAAAGAGGAAACAGAATATATTTTAAAGTGACAACTTTGTTATGCTGCAGCCAGAATATTGAAATGATATAAATATAAACTCCTAAATGATTCCATACTGAAATGCCAGCAGAGAGCAAAATTTCTCGCATAATTATGGCAGGGAAACTTTCTTTACCAACACTCACAAGAGCATGTCTTATTATTGCACAATTCTTCTGGCGTGGGGCAGCCCATCCCGGGGACAGAGATTCTGTGTCCCTGCAGGTTGGGAACTGTGATGATTGGCTGGTGCTCCTTGTCTGCAAAGGAGGCTCTTAATAAAGGCTCATTTCCGTGGGCAGTGAAAAAGTAGGCTGGCCCTGCCCAGCCAGGAGAGTACATCCCTCAGTAGATGTGTCTGCGGTGTGGGCCACTGGTGTCAAGGTGCACAAGCTGGCCCCTGCTGCCTCTCTCTCTTCTATTTTTCTTTCCAATTTTCCTGGGAGCTTTGCTGTCCCTGTCTACCTGTCCCACGTCCTATCTGTCGGTCTGTCTCTAAACCTATTTCTGTACCCCCTCCCACATGCACACACACACACCCCCGCCCCCCTCCCCATCTCCTGGCACCGGCCCTTTCATCTTCTCCCTCGGGGATTCGAGATGTCGCTGCAGGAAGTGCTTGTCGGCCAGGCAGCAGCAGCAGAGCCCTGTGGCTTTGACAAACCTCATTTAATTGGGAGGAAGCCAGGAGAATTTGAAAGAACTGAAACATCCACGAAACTCCTTTTATCAGGCATAATTTAAACTCTGCATGGAAAAACCCCTATATGTATAAAGAAAAGTCAACTTCCCTCCTGCTGTGAGCACCCTGTCTCCCCCCAGCGCAGGCAGGCGCCTGCAAGCTCCCATCTTTTCATTTTTCTAAAAGTGTCAAAGTAGATTTGGGCTCTGTGGCTGGGTGAACAGAGAAGGAATACAGATCGGTCTCTCTCTCTCACACCCGCATGCGCCCGTGTGTGCACACGCAGATGGACAGACACACACAGACACACAGACATACGTGCGCAGAGCCCTTCTGTTGGTGGCTTTGCTTCGGTGGCCAGGAAGAATCAACCCCAAGTTTCTACCCTCCCATCAGGTCTGACAGTGATTGTTTCTTCCTAATTACTCTCCTCAGCAGAAGCCGGTGCCCAGACAACTTAGAAGGTCCCCAGCGGTTCCCAGTGTGTAGCATAATAGATCCTAGAGGAGGGCCAGTGGGGGAAGTCTCTTTAAGTGGAGAGAGGGGGAGTGTGAGTGTGTGTGAGTGTGTGTCTGTGTGTACGCCCGTGTGTGTCTGCTTGCCTGAAGTGGTAGTTAGCCAGCCCCAGCCTGAGAGAAGAAAGCGAGCAAGGAGAGATCCAGGGGCTCAGACTGGGAAGAGGGTGCCGGGGTGGGAGTGGGGGCCGTAGGGATGCGGTGGGGGGAGGTAGCAGGAAGGGGGAAAAATGTTCGTGGCCTGGAATGTCTCTTACTCCACCCACATGCCTCCTTCCAGATTCCAGTCCAGATTCACCTCCGGTCTAATCCCTCTCCCTGAGTTATTCTAGTTCCTCCAAAGCGCTGCCTTCAGCGCAGTATTCTCCGGCCATCTGCAGCTGATTACGCCCAGGCTCGAGCTGTTGCGACAGGATTTGTGCTAACACGTGTAGGACGTTCCCTGTTTCCTCTTCCCACTCCGCAGGGTCCTTGAGGTCAAGGACAAATCTCTTCTTTTTCCTCAATTTTTATAGCACTTAATATGTTCTTGACACTTAATGGCAATTTAATAAATACTGATGAATCACTTTTCTTACAGGGTTAAGTAAGAGTTAACCCCAGTTGTACGATTATGGCTATTTTTGGAGATCCTAAATGACTCACTGTAATAATAAAATACCTCGAGGAATCCCAAACTAAGAGCCTTGGCCTGTCGCGGGACACCGTCCTAGGTCCAGGGGGCTGCGCGTCCGGACGCTGGGAACCATGGCCAGCGCGCCCGCCTGAGCCTCCCTGGGCCGCAGCTCGCCCGGCCCCATGCTCGCCCCGCCGCGCGCCATGCCTGCACCCCATGCCTGCACCCTCTTGCCCGCCTGAGCCCCTAGCCCTTCCTTCTTGGCTTTCTTCTTTCCGGCTTAGGACTTCTAAAAACTGTTTTCTGTTGAATGGTGGATGTTTTCAGGGAAACTCCGCCTAAGATTAGTCCCCGCAAACAGCCGGGCCGTGACCGCACCTCCCACATCCTCCGCACGGCCCTTCCTGGCCACATTCTGAGAAACTCGAGCAAAGCTCCTGCCACATGATCCCTCAGCAGATTCCAGATTTGGAGGATGACTTCAGGCCCAGTCAGCAAAGCTGATTTCAGGGTGACTTGTGTTCCCGTGGGTGTCCGGCCCGGGAGGACCCCGCCCCCAGCGCCCCACCCCGCACTTCCTTCGCCAGCATCCGATTACCAGTCAAGAAAGGCCCCGCTCTCCGCGCCTGACATATCCATGTCACCTATCATCTTACTCCCGATGGAAAGAGGGGGGTTGTTAGAAACTTTTCTTTGGCTTCTCCTGGCAGATGCTAGCGAAAGCAACGCAGAGGCAGCTTTCATCTCGGCTGATTTCTGAGTGTGCGTGTGTATATGGGAAATGTTTGGATCATTACAAGGAGGTCTGTGTCGCCTCAACCCACCGGCGCTTTTGAGTTTGAGAGACTCTCATGCAAAACTCAGGCAAGATTGGCCCCATCTTGCTTCTCCCAGGCAAACTGACCTCTGAGCTCGCTTGTGGTTGCAAATGCTATGATTCTCCAGCTCTCAGAGAAAACACTTAGACACTGAACTTACATGTGCACATGTACACGTGCACGCACACGCACACGCTCACCGTCAGGAAGCTGGTGCAGCTGGGCGGGCAGGGCGCTGAAATAGTCGTGAACCAGCGCCTGCCGGGCGGAGACGCGGTCTCTGGGACAGCCTTTGAGCATCTGCGAAGCCAGGTCTTCAGCTGCAGGAACCTTGCCCAACCTGGAAAAGTGGAAGAGAAAAATGGTTTCTGCAGAGGCCTCCCTTCTGAAAATAAAGGGGGAAAAAGTAAAGTAAAGGAGATGGCTAGGAGAGTGTTTCAAACAGAACGTTCCTGGGATAAGTAACCTTGATGGCAAGCGGGAAAATAATCCCACGCTGAAACTCTCCCCTGTCCTGTTACCGAGATGAAGGGAAAACGCAAAGCGTTATATCACCCGGCTCCCTCCGCCTCCATCGCATCTTAGGCACTGAGTATACATAAAGGACTTGGAATTACAATTATAGAGGCAGAAATATATAATGAAGGATTCTTCTTTGAGGCGCGCAGCAGCTCCCACCAAGCAGAAAAGCCCTATTGGAAATAGGCCGCAGGCTCTGGACTCCAAAGGCTGCAAGCAGGGAATCCTGCAGGGGGAAGGGTGGAGGCGATTCTGGGGGGGGGGGGGGGGGGGTTTGAGCAGAAAATTCTCTTATTTACAGTGTTTCTGAAGCTCGGCTTCCAGAGTTATTACCTAAGACACTCTCTTGATTCCTGCTGATAAGAGCACAGGAAGAGAGATAATTAAGTACCCAAATTACAGTAAGGACAAATCCTCAAGTTGACCTTATGTTGAATTATAAATCTGGAGATGAGCGAATCCATTAATTGAGCAACTTCTATGTGCTAGTAGGTAGTTGGCTCTGGGAGACACAGGCAAGACTGCATCCATTGGGCAGCTTAGTCTAGTAGAGCTGTCAGATGCTAATGAAATGATCATACAAATGCCTAAGTACCACTGTGAAAAAAAAGGCCCAGATACCTGACTTAGAGTGGGAGAAGGTAATCAGGGAAGGCTTCCCTGAGAAAGCAGCATTTGAGCTGAGAGCTCAGGAATTGGGGCAAGGGAGGGGCAGGCGCTGCAGACAGAGATCTGTGGTGTTCTTACAGACACCGGGGTGGGAGGGAGGAGAGGGAGTTTAAAGAATGGAAGAAAGGCCGGTTAGCTTGCCCGGCACAAAGAGGGTAGAGGGCCATATATGAAGCTAGTGAAGGGCAGGCCTTGTGGGGCTCCACGTTTCCTGCTTACTTATAATGTTTGAAAGTCTCTGCTAATCTAGTGCCAATCATTTAAGTGCACCCATCTCTAGAGCCCACAGCCAGGTTTACGAGTAGAAAACCACGAGACGGAAAACTACAGATCCCAGGAGGCAGTTGACTGCAGGACCGATGTCTGACATTCAGAATTATGGTGCATGGCCATGAAAATCCCCAATTAAGCAAAAATATCAATGAGCTTATATAATGTCGCATATACATACCAAGCAAAGCAACAAGGAATTGATGCCTTTCCCCTTCCCTGGGGCCGTGATGCAGTGGCGCTGGAAGGCCTGGCCCACAGTTGTAATTTGCCTAATTTTTGCATGAGATTTACATAAGAGACTGTCAGCTATCTGATTCCCATGACATAAAACTGTTTCTACAAACAGATAATTTTATCCTCAAACTCAGGAGTAATTGCTTCATAGACTTAAGATAGAGAAGAAATTTGCAAATCCCCAGTCCTTGCAAATTTCCAGGCCAGTTAGGAGAGAAGGGACCCTGGGGTGGTGGCCTACTCATTAGCTTGTGGGTCAAGAGGCGCTGGCGGGCATTTTCTCCATCCAGGGTGCCCTGCCCAGGTACAGGTTTTCAGCACCAATAAAATGGGATTTGGAGTGGGGAAGCTGGTACAAATCACTAGGGCCTGGTATCCGTCTGGAAGGAGATTCAGTGAAAAACTCATGAAAAAAATTCTAGCTGGTCCACCCACACCATAGGGTGGTGGGGTGGGATATGTGCCAAAATTGGGGCCTGCACCCACTCTATGAATTTCCAGGGGGTGGGTGGGTAGGTAGGTGGTGATGAATAGTGGGGGGCAGTGCCTCTATCAGCTTCCACCTCCACAACCCCACCCCAATCAGCGATTTGTTCTCGCCGAACACTCCCACCTATTGGCCCATAACAATTGAATTGCTACAGAATTGCTCATTGGAAGGAGCTGAGGAGCTACAATCTGATTGGATAAGGGACCTTTTTTGAACTTGTGTTAGCAGGACATGCATACTGTTTTTATCTAGACTGTTTTTATCTAGGCTAGGCTGTGGAGCTTATGGGCTTAGCAAGGACACACAGAAGAGCAGGCCATTTTATCAGGCAAATGAAGGAAAGGAGTGTAGGTACTGACAGTGACGTGAAGACTTCTTTTTAAGGACTTTCCTCTTCAGCTAACCAACCCTGCCCCCACCTTCCCACAAGGTTGTAGCAAGGCTTTTGGTGGAGTCGGGATTTGTTCCAGTCCCATGGCCTCCAACCTGTCACCGTCACCACCCACTTCTCCAGCTCCCCAGCAGGCAGTGACGGGGGCAAAGTACACAAATGAAGGCTTTCCTCCCACGAGCCAAGTTCATGTTGGTCCTCCCTGTGTAAGCCAAATCCGTGGCCCCCGAATACAAGCCGTTACCAGCAGCACTCGGAGCAGGACCACCCGACCGGACCGAGCGTCCAGACAGTCCCCACCTTGCCATTGGTGTATCGCACTCTCATTTGGGAGCAGAGAAAAGAGCCCCAGGAATACAGATGTTGCTTCTTTGGGCACAAATGTTAATTTACCTCCACGTTTGTATCATTCTACCTCTTTCTGCATTGATAGTCTTCCTTGCTATCCACAGCCTTCACTGTCACATTTCTCCAATTTGCCACCTTCTCTAACTCCTGCTAGAACAATTCTTCACTGGTTACCACTCCTACTTTGGAAATGAAAGTTGGCATGAAAAGTGAACATCACAAACGTTGATTTGCCTGCCAGCACCCTTCCATATAGACCATATGTTAATAAGTGTCATTTGTCAGGCTGGTGATAGTAACTACCGACATGCCAGAAGGGTCTCGTAGAGTTAGAAACATCCACCCAGCCAATTCATGAGTCTGTCAACAAAGACAAAGACCCCCTCCGATGAACCTCTCCTTCTAGTAACATTTCAAGAAGCGAGAAGTGTTCCATTGCCAAAGCAACACATCCTTATCGTAGAACACTTAGAAAATGCAGAGAAGGAAAATCAAAACTATCCCATCCCTCTGAGATAACCCCCTTCACTCAAAGATAATCATCACTGCTCTGGGATTCCATTTTTCTTCTTTAGTCCTTTATTTTTATGCAGATATATTTTTTGTTTTATGAAAAAATGGGATCGTCCTCTACATGCTGTTATACTTTTTCCATTTGACGATCTTGATCATCTTCCCAGGACTTTGACTAGCCTCCTAGGACATAACTGTCACGGCTGCACAGCATTTCATCATGTGGGCACCATAATCTTCACAGCCAGACCCTTATCGAAGTTGTTTCCTTTTTGGTTAGGGTGTGCGAGGGGCCACTATTAAAATGGTGCTGTGACAAATATCCTCAATGAGAAATCTTTGTGTACTTGTGCAATGATTTCCTTAGTATAAATTCTGAGAATGGAAACTCCCAGGTTGAAGGATAGATGACATGTTAAAGTTTTTGATTAAGAATATTATCTAGTGAAGCTGAACCGGTTTCCATGTCCACAGCAGCCCCAGAGGGCTCCTGTCCCTGTGTGCAAGGATAACAAATTCATTCCAGCAGATTTGAATCGCCACAGGCCCCACTGCTTATGAAAGTTGTAAAACGGATTAAAATTGTAAATCGATCCTAAAAGATGTGCTGGGTGTGAGGACATCCACGTTTAATTTTAGAAGTCCAGAATAAAAACATAAACGATAATAAAAAATGAAAGTCAGGCTCTTAATTCGGCCGTTGTATAAAGCGCCATCAACCAGCCCATCCCTCAAGACGTCTAAAATCTGGTGCTTCTCAGGGACCTGAGGCAACAGCCTTGATTTCTGAGCTCAGCCTGACCCTAAGTGTAAAAACCGCCCACTGCCATTGCTGCCATCGACCTGGTGGTGGAAGGGCTGTATCTGTTTGCAGGACAAGGCTGGTCACTATGAGTTCGACTGGGTTTTTTGTTGTTTTCTCCTAGATCCACAGAAAGAGCAGAAGGGCAGGGATAGAGTGGGCATTTTTTTTTTCCAATTTTTCAATTTGTTTTTATTTTGAAGTAATTTTAGGTTTACAGAAGAGTTGCAGGAATAATACAGTTTCCTCACATGTTTCACCAGCTTCCCCTAATGTCACATCTTATATAAGCATAGTAAAATTGTCCAGCCTAAGCAGTTAATATTGGCACAATACCATCAACTAAGCTGCAAACTTTATTCATCGTTTTTTTCAATAGTGACCTTTTTGTTGCTATTGTTCCAGGAGAGTGGGCAGTTTTTTAATGCTGTCAGTTTAGGATGAGGTAAAGCAGACACCTCCTAATAAGAAATATATCCAACACTAGAAAGAGACAAGCTCAGAGAAGCTGTGCTATAATTTTCTAATCAATCTAACAAGTGAGTATGCACTTAGCGGCCCACATTAACCAGGTCGCCATCAAACTCCAGGCTTGGCCCTGAGGGGCATTTACAGCCCTGTGCACAGTTCCTCTGCTCCTCTGCAGAAATCTTGTAAAAAAGCCGGTGACGCCTTGGCTCCCTTTACTCACAACACTTGCAACCTGACTCGACTGACAAAGGCACAGAGACCTGTGACCGGGTGAATCCCGGCTCCACCACTTACTTAGCTTGACAACTTTGGCTAAGTTACTTAACTTCCTTGAGCCTCAGTTTCCTCCTCTTTGAAATGGAAATGAGATTTGTGAGGAATAAATGAAATAATATAGGCAAAGCACAAACATCTCACCAAACATCCTTCGTTCAATGATGAAGCCCTTCCTCCAGCTTAGAACTTTCTCCCGTGATCATCTAGGCCAGTGCTGCCAATAGAAGTTTCCCTGATAGATGTTTCTCCAGAGAAGATATCTGGATGGCCAACAGACACATGAAAAGATGCTCAGCATCATTAACTATCAGGGAAATGCAAGTCAAAACTACAATGAGATATCACCTTACCGCCGTCAGAATGCCTATAATTAACAAGACAGGAAACAAAAAGTGTTGGAGAGGATGTGGGGAGAAGGGAACCCTTGTATACTGCTGGTGGGAGTGCAAACTGGTGCAGCCACTGTGGAAAACAGTATGGATATTCCTCAATAAATTAAGAATAGATCTACCATATGATCCAGCTATTCCACTGTTGGGTATCTATCCAAAGAACTTGAAAACACAAATGTATAAAGATACATGCACCCGCATGTTCATTGCAGCATTATTCACAACAGCCAAGACTTGGAAGCAACCTAGGTGCCCATCAAGGGACGAATGGATAAAGAAGATATGGTATATATACACAATGGAATACTACTCAGCCATAAGAAATGATGAAATCTGGCCATTTGTGACAACATGGATGGACCTTGAGGGTATTACGCTAAGTGAAATAAACCAGAGGGGGAAAGTCAAATACCATATGATCTCACTCATAAGTAGAAGATAAAAACGACAAGCAAGCACAGAGAAACAGAGACTGGATTGGTGATTACCAGAGGGGAAGCGGGGAGGGAGGAGGATGAAAGGCGTGATTAGGCACATGTGTGTGGTGATGGATTGTAATTAGTCTGTGGACAGTGAACATTATGTAATCTACACAGAAAATGAAACATATAATAATGTACACCTAAAATTTATCTAATGTTATAAAGCAATGTCACCTCAATAAAAAATAAAAATAAAACAAAAAACAAAAAAAAGAAGTTTCCCTGTTGATGGAAATATTCTACTTCTGCCCCAGCTGATATGGTAGCCACTACTCACATGTGGCTATTGAGCCCTTGAAATGTGGCCAGTGCAATTGAATTTTAAATTTAATTTTAATTAATTTAAATTTAAATAGCCACCTGTGGCTAGTGGCCACTGTATTAGACAGCACATTTCTAGGCGTTACTCCTTGCCTTGAGGATCTGAGTGCAGAGAAGCCGGAAGTAGGCTGAGCTAAGGCAAAGGCATTGCTGGGAGCAAGGCCATGGGCAGAGGTGGTGGGTGTTGTGTGTGTCAGAAAAGCCAGAGGGACATTCATCGAACCCAAGTGCTGCTCAGTCCAGAAAGAAGGGCTGGTGGAGCCATAGTAGGGGGCTTGTGGCACTTTCTTCCACCGTGTGACAGCGCCAAACAGCAGCAGCATAGAGTGTTAACATGGTTTTCAGGTTTGGAGTACCATTTATTTTGGAAGCCAATAGTGTAATGAAAGAAAGCCACAGGGCAGAGCTAGGATCCATGTATCTCTGGCCAGGAGTAGGGAGCCTGCCTATGCTGGCAAGAGAGAGTCTGCACACCTTGAGTGACATGAGGAACAGCTGTTCCCTGGAACCTTCTCCAAACCGGGTGACGGGTGCGCTTGAAAGTAAGAGTGGAGTGTGCGGGCATCCTGAGGGAGACCGTCCCTCGAGTCAGAGACCCTTTGGCAGTCCCTGGTTCTGTGTTCCCACCTATTTCACTTTGTGCTCTGATAGTCACTCTGCACGGAGACTTCTTAAAGCACAAGAGCAGCAAGTATGGGCAAAAATCAAACAAGATTTGGTTGGGTTAAGTTCGCCTGCATTTCAGGGAAGAACGAGGCTCAGGGTCCAGCGAGGCTCTCTCCCTTCTCCCCACCTGCGATCGTGTTTTTCTTTGACATTTGAGCTCGCTTCCCCTGCCTCTGATATCTTCCTCACTGCCCTTTTTGCCTCCTCACTGAAGCAAAAAGAACAGAGCCCCGGCTAATTACTCTCAGATCAAATAATACTGGTTATTGTAATTGGTCATTGTCCGAAAACACGGAGTTCTTCTTAGCCCTGAGGTTGCCTGGCACAGCTTCGTTAGCTAGCTATTCCGGGAATGTCTCTATTATCTGTTTTACTTTGCAAAAGAAACTCAGGATTTGTTGAAAGCTGGTAATAAAAGTCTGCCCTGGTCTGAGCCGAGACTGCGCAGCGAGGGCCTGGGAAAGGATGACCTCCATGAATCAAGCCGCCCCCCTCCCCCAGCCGCTCAATGATGTTATTTGGTTTCTCTGTGTCGGAGAATAATAAACCCACTAGGTTTTCTCGCAGGCCAACACTCCCTCGCTCTCAAGGCCTCAGGCATGGTTGAGGGGCACAAAACGATTTTAATGACCAAACTCCCTGAAAGTAAAATGGTGCATAGAGAAAAACTAACAGACTCACAGGTGGCTGGCTTTCCCAGAGGCATCTTCCTGGGGCTTAGGGCCCCAGACGGAGGTGTGCAGGGGCTGGGTGTTCAGTGGACTGAGGCCCAGGGAAATACCCCTCAAGCCTGCTCATGGATCAGCTCGCCAAGGGAGTGCTTACCTGCTCCAGACGTTCTGAAGGCTCTGAGGCTCAGGCAGGGGGAACCAGTCTGGAAAGCACACACAGACACGTTGAAAAACAAAACCAACCCTAAAATCCCATTGCCAAAAATATTATTAAAATTCTCAATGTTCTTCTTGGTTTGGGGTAAGAGAGAATTCAGCTATCAGGCAAACTAAACGATGCTGAAGGTCTTTTCTTGCTCTGAATTTGTATGACTCTGTGGAAGGCCACTATTATGGGTTGAAGTGTGTCCCCTCCTGAAATTCATAGGTCGAAGTCAACCCCAAGTACCTCAGAATTCGACCTTGTATGGAAATAGGGTTCTTGCAGATATAACTAGTTAAGATGAGGTCATTAGGACGGGGCCTAATCCTATATGACTGTGTCCTCATAAAGAGGGGAAATTTAGACACAGAGACAGACACGTACAAGGAAGACGAGGTGAAGAGACACAAGGAGAAGACAGCCATCCACAGGCGGAGGAGAGAGGCCTGGAACAGATCCTTCCCTCAGAGCCTCGGAAGGAGCCAGTCCTGCCAACACCTCGATTTCGGATCTGGCCTCCAGAACTGGGAGACAATAAATTTCGGTCGTTTAAGCCATCCGCTTTGTGGTACTTTGTTGCTGATGCCCTAGCAAACTAATACAGTCACAATACTCAGCAAAGTCAAGAAATATTTACCTAACAGTGACTGCGTGCAGAGCATGTCCCAAGTGCTGAGGAAAATACATGAGAAATCGCCCCATCCTCACAGAGGGTACAATTCATTTGAGAGAATAAAGCACGTGCGTATGAAAAGTCATGTGACGAATGACAGGACAAAGGCTCAAAGTCTGGAAAGTGGTAAAGAGTAACAGGGCTGATTTTCTGTGTCACTTGCAGTAAAAATGGAAGTGAATCCTGGCTTGAATGATCCAAAATGGATGATGATAAAATTTGTAATTTTTCTTTGGAGCACTCTTTATAACATTTATATGTGGAAACATGTGCTTCTGTTATCCTTGGTATTGACACTACTTAACCCAAAATAAAAGCACCATGAAAGGGGACAATTTCTCATTCATTCAAGAAGCGCCAATTGAATGCGCACTCTACGTCAGGGCCTTGAGAGTTGCTACAAGGGTTTAAGCTGATGCTCCTTATGAATGCTGTTTCCCTCTGCAGATTGAGAAAAGAGTATTCAACTCTCATTTAAAATGGCGTTTCCGCCCTATACTTTCCTTTGGGCCTGAAAGGTAATTGTTGGGTTTTAAAAGGTCTCTTCTTCCAGCGCCTGTAGGAATGGAATACACCAAGATGTTTATTACAACAAAGAATCTGATCATAGTGGGACAAAAATTTATTCTGATAACACTGACATACTCATGTCTGTCTGTGCATGGAAAAGACCGGGAAGAGCACTCGCCAGCTGTGAGAGTGCTTACAGGGGCTTGCCTTTTTCTCTTCTATGCTCATCTTCTTAAGTTCACTTTTTAAATAAAAGGCATATATTATTTTGTAACTTCGAAAGTAAGTTCAATGAAAAACAGAATTTGTAGCGCTAAGAGATGTAGAGTGAGAGGAGTGATCAAAGAAAAGGGCTTAAGCTGAGTTTCCAGGGTCAGAAGCGATCAACCGGCACTTGTGTCCCAGGTGGGCACCAAGGGAAGCGTTCGGATGCACAGGTCATCTACTCTCTGTTTGCATGGCTGTGCCTAAACTCAAAAACCCAGGAAAGATGAGAGGATCTGGCATCCGCTTAGTATGTTTACTTCCAGTCCGCTTTCTGCTGCCTGTTTTCAGTTCTTCCCTGGCCCAGCAAAATTAAAATTCTTCCTCATTCAGTCATATCCCAATTTCCAATCAACATAACACATCCACTTCAATCCTCTCCCATGCGGTTTTTCCCTTCTTAGAGTCCCACACTCTGTGTTTTTTTTGGCCGTTAGTATTTTAACACTGTTTCTCACTTGAGGGTTGTCCTTGTGGAACGCGGCTTTGGAATGAGCTGAATTAAAGTTTGAACGCTGAACTGCCGCCTCAGATTCGCTGAGACCTTAAGCAAGATATTTAAACCTCGGCCAGCCGGTTTCCTTCACTCAAGTTGGAGGTCGCATTCGCCTCTCAAGGACGAAGTGATTCACTGATTCATTGATTCATTGATTCATTGAGATGATGAGTGTACAGTGCCTGCCTCGGAGCATTGAATAAAATGAATCCTGTTTGCTTCTCCTTCTTCTTTCTCTGCCTTTGAGAAGTGACGGGCAATGTAAGCCATGTGTGGTTAGGACCCTGGACCCGGAGTTTGAATCCTACGCCACTTAGCAGTTGTGTCACCCAGGGGCGTTGCTTATCCTCACTGGCCTCAGTTTCCACATCTGCAGAACAGGGATAATTGTAATTCCTACCGTACAGGATGGTTGTGAGAATTAGGAGAGTAAGTGTAATACAAGCATTTCCTCACCCTCTGCCTCTTCTTTCCGGCTCCTTCCTTGTCCGATGCACCAGGCTTCTTCCTCTCCTCTCTCCTTTCAGATATTTCTGCCTTATTGTTCTCCTTGGAAACCCTCTATCCTTGTTGTTTCATTCTACTGAAATTCTAACTTGTTCCGGCTCGAGTTCTTACAAGCCTGGCCGGATCTCTTTTGAGTCCTTGTTGTGGGCCAGAGGTGGGTTTCTTAGCTGTGTGGTGCAGTGATGTGAGCACAAGCCAGGGCTCAAATCTCCTTTCTACCCCTTCTGAGCTCTGGGACTCTGGGGAACTTACTTAACCTCTATGGTTAAGTAACTCAGAAGGTTCCAAATGTGTAAAATGGGGATATTTTTCCAGTTGCTTGGGAGGATTAGAAAAGATTAAGTACTCGGCATTTAGGGGCTCAATAAATGTTAGCCTCATTCTTTTTTCTTTTTTGTTCTGCTTGGTTCTGCCTCTCATTTGGAGCGGTAGCATGGTCTAACAGAGTGGTTCTCCAGCCCAGCTGCATATGAGCATCACCTGGGAGAGTTTGGAAACGCAAGGAAGCCCAGCCTCCACCCCCAGAAAGTCTGACTGACCAGCCTGGGGAGGACCCAGCGTTGGTCCATGTTGTGTGGTTACTATTATCTTTCATGGTCTCCAAATGTTTCTAGTGCGGCACTTCGTGAGGCAGAGGATGCTGGGCTAGCAAGGAGGGCTGGGTTGACCTCTCGCCAGCGACTCCCACACACTTCGCTGAGGTTCGCTTCCTCAAGTGAGCCTGTTGTGAGAATTCAATTAATCTGTCTACACAAACCGCAGAACATAGTATCTGCCACACACTTAATATATCACACATCACAAGGATGTGAAAGAGGAAGCATGACAAGGGAAAAATGAGTTCTCATAAATTTTACCAGGGAAGAGCGACCTGTGAGAGTTGCCCCAGGAAGCAGTGTAACAATATTGAACTTGAGGTTCCACGTCTTGCATAGACTGTGCCTGACTCTCTTCCCACATCTATTTTGCAGCTCCATGAGCCGAGGTAGAGGGATCGATGTGTCCAGGGCCAGTCAGGTCGCTATTATGAAGCAGAGCCAAAGCCCGGTTCCTATTTGTGGCCTTCCCTCCCACCTGTGTGCCGATAACCTGATGCTGGATGACCTTGCCTCTCCCATTGATTTCTCCCAGCAGATAAGCTGCAAACGATCAAGGAGGGAATGATCCACACAGATAGGCACTGTACACAGCGCCATCGCAAGAGTGGTCTGTTTCTCTGCTTCAATAGTCTCTAAAGATAACAGGTCTGTAGGTAGCTTATTTCCCTTCTCCTTCCAAAGACGATGGTAAATTATTAGACCAGATTTTTCTCCATCTTCTCCTTCTGCAGTTCTCTTTAAAAGAGTTCTCATTTGAGCTCAAACAGAATTCAAGGTAGGAAAAGCAAAATAAGTTGTAAAAGGAAACTTAAAAACTAAACATTTTAAATGGAGTGAAATTAAAATGAGGGCAGAACTGGCGCTACCATAGTGAAATGATGCATTTTTCATAAATGTTTAAGAAGCTCATGTCACAACTGGTTCCAGCCCTGTAGCCTCCGTCAATAGAGATGTGGTAGTTGATTGAGGAAACATCACCAGGACCATTCTGAGTCTCAGCTCAAGGTAAGACATTTCCTAGTTCCTATAGTCTTGTCACAATCACCCTAAGGTTATCTTACAGTGTTGTCCACTGAACTATGCCTCTGGAATTTCCCGAATACAATGCATTCTTGAGATACCATATATTTAAATAGTTGATAATGTTGTTAGCCCTATTTCACTATCTCAAGCAGTCACTTTAAAACTGCATTGCAAAAATCCTCATCTCCTACCTCGGCCTCACCCCCACCCCAAATCCGCACACTCAGCCCTCACAGCAGCTTGCTTCCCTCTTCCTCGGTGAGCTGCTTGGATGCTTCCTTAGTCTTTGGCTCAAGGAGTCTCAATCAGCTCTGCTCTTTTGGTGTCTCCATTAACAGGCTTTAGATTCCTGTTTGGGTGTCACCAGGACACCAAAAGCCAGTGTTGTCACCAAGGGTGCTCCTTGGCAGTTAAGCCTGGCACTCCAACTCACATTTGTAGCTTATCACTTTTCTAACCCTGCATCAGAACTATCTGTGGATTCCAAGAAAACATCCCATCCCCTGAAGCCTGTTCCTAAGGTAATGGTCTCTGTAGAGGAAGGGGAGGCCAGGCCTTGCTCCTGGTGGGTGGGTGGAGAGGGTGGAGGGAATGGGCAGAGTCAGGAGTCTCTACTCTCCTGAGGGTAGTACCATGTTTAACGTCTCCACCCCTACAAATGATGTTTGAGCTATAGCTTGATCATGCCCTTGGTGTTTATGGATATAATGATGCATCATTTGTCAACATTTACCACTCCCCTGTAGTCCCTACAAATGGTTAAGGGCCACCACTTGTAGGCAGTGTGCTCAGCACTGGGAATACACAGACATGGTACTTGGCCTTCCCCCCAAGGAGCTAATGGCCATATGATAGTATCATCATCATCATCATTCATCGTTTCCTGGTCTTCTCCAGCCCCTCTGGCTGTTTCTTCTCAGCTTCCCCGC